TATATATATATATATATATATATATTTCTTAGGAGTGTAAATACTAACCCAAGGAGAAAAACTCTACTCAAACCCAATATTAATAATTTGGAGTTGGAGTAGGTTACATGATTTGAAAATGTCAAGTCAATTTTGGTCAACCCAAAAATAATAACATAATATCTTGTTTATTTTATAATGAAAAACTCATAAAAATATAAGCTTTTGTTATCTTTTTTCGTAAGATTGTGTATCAATTAGATAATCTTTTTATTTTGAGTTAAAATTGACAATAACTTGTCACAACTTTAAGTATGTTTATGTTATGTTGTGATGGGCTTGGTTTTACTCAAATTAAATTTGGGCAGGAAAAATCTGTTAACACTTTAAATCTCTGTTGTACACGTGGACCTATCAGCTAGCTTTCTTGTTTCTTTACCTCTATATATTAACTCAAGTTGTAATAGAATAGGATATCTCTAATACAGAAATTTATCTTTTCTTGTTTAACTCTGCTCGAGTCCTTCTCTGTTTCCTCTTCTTTCTACTTTCTTTCATGGTATCAGAGCTTTAATGTCGGATCAAGACTCCGCATCCTCTCGCTAAACTACTTCCGATCTCTCTAACGCCCTCTCCGACTTCATCGTTCCCACCCCTCTCAAATTTCTCATCTCAAACTTGAAGAACCTTGTTCCCACACAGCTTACTGCCGACACCTACTCCATATGGCGCCTCCAACTCTGCAGCACTTCTCCGCCAATGGTTTCGTCGGCCACCTCACAGGAACCTCTCCGTCTCCCACCGACCAAACCAGCAACGATTACAAACTCTGGTATCTCATCGATCAAGATCTCATTTCCGCTCTTCTTTCTACCATCTCCACTGCGATTTTACCATACGTTCAATCTTTATCCACCGCCCACGACATATGGACCGTTCTTGAACCCCGACTGCAACCGACAAATCGCTCACGTGTCATTCAAATCAAGAATGAGTTACACAACATTCAAATGTGAGATCGATCCATGCAGCAATACCTCACTCAAATAAAGACTCTTGTAGATCAAGCTGAGGTAGCCAATTCTACCATCGACACCAAAGATGTCGTCATCTACATCCTCAACGGACTCTCCTCCTCATACAATGCCTTCACCACTACAATCCGCACGGCCCAATACCTCCTCAATCTTGACATCTTGTACTCGCTCCTCTGCAGTGAGGAAATTAATCTTCACAATCAGCAACAGAAAGATTCCAGCACTCCTTCAGACCACACCGCTTTGTACATGACCCGCAAAGACTACTCCAAGAATCGCAGCTCCTGGAGCCTCTCCGCAATCGATTCCCAACAACAATCCATAGGCCAAACCAACATGTCAAATATGTGGTAAAATCGGTCACTCCACCCTCAATTGTTGGCACTGCTGCAATCCCAAATTTGCTCCCACAACCAACTAGCCATCGCGTGCTATGCTAAGTCAACATCCCACCAGCAGCTCCAACAATTGGATTCTTGATTCAGGCGCCTCTACTCACCTCATGCCCGATCTTGCGAATCTACAACAACCCTCGGTTTACAATGGCTCAGACAACGTCTCGATTGCCAATGGCTCCACTGTTCCAATTCAACATACTGGTCACGACATTCTACCTCTTCTCGAATGCGCTCGTAAGCTCTACTTGCGCAACCTTTTACACGTTACCAATCTTACCCATAATCTCCTCTCTATTTCGAAACTAACTAATGACAATAATGTTTCTATCTCGTTTAATTCTCAAGGTTTTCTTATCACTGACCTTCAGGACAATCCCCTTCTTCTCCATGGTCGTCTCCGTGACGGACTCTATCAAGTTCAAGCTCCACCATCTCACTCTCAAGTGGCCTTTCAAGCTCAGCCAACTTCTTCTACCATTTGGCATTCACGACTTGGCCATCCTCACAACAAAGTCTTGTCCATTATTTCTCAATAGTTTTGAGATTCTCTTAAACCTCTCCCCCCTCTATTTGCACCTCTTGTAATGTGGCAAAGGGACATCAATTATCGTTTAAAAAAAGTCTTTCTCTTACGTCCAAACCTTTGGAACTAATTCATTCTGATGTATGGGGTCCGTCCCCTCAACAATCTGCCAATGGCTACAAATTTTACATCATATTTATCGACGACTTCTCACGCTTCACCTGGCTGTATCTAATGTCTTCTAAAGCCGAAACCATAAACAAATTTAAAAGCTTTTGCTCTCTAATTAAAAATAAATTTAATACCACGCCTAAAGTCTTTAGATACAATGGTGGCGGAGAATTCACCAGTAATATGTTCAAAGAATTTCTATCTTCCAACGGAATCTCCAACCAATTTAGTTGCCCTCACACTCCACAGCAAAATGGTATAGCCGAACGAAAGCACCGACACCTTCTCGATACATCATGCACACTTCTCCACGCCTCCGGCCTTCCGATCTCCTTCTGAGCCGAGGCCATCACCACCTCAACCTATTTAATAAATCGTTTACCTTCAAAATCTCTTTCCTTACAAACTCCATATTAAAAACTCTTAAACAAACAACCCAACTACAACTATCTTCGTACATTTGGCTGCTTGTGCTTTCCCTAGTTACGCCCCTACGCACCTAACAAACTCTCACAATGTTCCATATCTTGCATATTTCTCGGGTACTCCTTCGCATAAAGGCTATCGCTGTCTAAATCCTCAAATAAATCAATTATACATTTCACGTCACTTTGTTCTCTATGAAACAGAATTTCTACTCAAGCATCAACACTTTAATCCTCAACTCCAGCAATCACCTACTCCCATTTCTCCTCTGCTCCTCACACCTACCTCTGTCCCTCCTCCCAACCCAAATCAAACTTCTAATTAAATTCCGTCACCACAATTCACTTTGCTTACCAGACCCGCTCCTAGCCCCGTCTCCTCAAATCCTCGGCTCTCACCTCATAATCCCTCATTATCACCAATTCTCCTCCTCGCTCCACTCATCCTATGCAAACTAGAATGAAATCAGGCATCTCTTTGCCAAAGAAAATTTTATAATCTCTCCACAATTCTCACTGAATCAGCCATTCCAACCTCTTACAATCAAGCTGCTCAATCCTCTAAGTGGCATGAAGCCATGTCCACTGAGTTCATGGCTCTTCAATAGAAAGGGACATGGTCACTCGTACCACCTCCTTCAAATCAACAAATATTGGGCTGGAGGTGGACATTTCGGATCAAAAACTCTTCCGAACGGTCAAATTGATCGTTACAAGGCTCTCCTGGTTGCTCAAGATTACGACCAACAACTAGGCATAAACTACCACGAGGCATTGCTGGTGGTTAAAATGCCAACTGTTCGCCTCTTACTCACACTAGCCCTCCATAGTCAATGGTCAGTTAACCAACTCAACGTATCAAATGCATTCCTCCATGACAATCTCGAGGAAGAAATCTATATGAAACAGGCACCCACCTTCATCGAAAATCAACATCCCAATCACATCTACAAACTCCGAAAATCATTATATGGCCTGAAGCAAGCCCCACGCCAATGGTTCAACAAACTCATGGTTCTCCTTCAGCAATTGAGATTTCAGTTCAGTCATTCTGATCCATCCCTTCTCTTATATGTTAACAACAATATTCAATTATATATTTTAATTTTTGTTGACGACATTTTAATTACAGGTAACAACAACCATACAATCCAAAAGTTGTTCAAACAACTTCAAACTCACTTCAAGATCAAACAAATGGGAGAAGTTTCTCTTTTCCTTGGCATTAATATAAAACGTACTGCATCCGGTTTTCTCTTAAGTCAACAACACTATG